AAAAAAAAAAAAAAAAAGAATTGAAATTTGTAGTCAGAGAGAATATAATACAAGTGATTCATCTTTCCTAGAGATTTTAAGGTGTAATATACATTTTCAAAGACAATCATATAACCTTCACTACAAAGAATCTGGGGGCCAGCAGGTGGCATAGCAATTAAGGCACGAGGGTACCAACAGATGGTATAATAGTTATGGCACTGGACTCCCATACAGTTGACCAAGGGTTGAGTCCTGGACCTGGTAGCTTAAAACTCACACTGGGCACGTGTATGTGCCCAAAATCCTGAAAAAGTATGGAAAAGAAGGGACTGTGCCGTGGCCATCCCCCCCCAGGAGGGTGAGTTCTCACTTTGTCTTTCTGTCTGTCTCTCCAGTGAATGCACATGACCTATAGCAAAAAAAAAAAAAACCCTAAAAAAAAAAAGAAGAAGAAGAAGAAGAAATTAAGGCACTGGATTTCTACGTAGCCGACAGTATTTTAAGTCTCACACCTGGAGGCTTGAAACTCATGCCAAACATATGTGTATACATGCCCAAAATCCTGAAAAGGAAATAGAGGATAAGAGATTACAGTGTAGCCATACTCCTAGGGAGTGATTTCTCACTTTCTCACATGCCCTATAGCAAAAATCTCTCTTAAAAAAAAAAAATGACTCATGCTTTCCTCAATTCCAATAGGAACAACCTAGTTTATGAACCTTATATCAAATTCCTAAACTACCACTTTAATCTCAAAATTCGTGTCTACTCATCTTTTACATAGCCTCCAGAATAGCTGTACCAAAATGTCATCTTGGACTCGATTTGTTGCACAGTCAGGGTGACTGTAACTCTGTTTGCTAGATACAGTGTCAGCATATACCTGTTATCTCAGTGTAATTATTAATAGTGCTTCCTTTCACTCAAAAGGATAAATTTCTTTTTTTGTATTTTATGATTTACATGTAATCATTATATATATTTGTGGGGACATAGATTTTTTTAAAAAATAATTTAATTTTATTAATTATTATTTTTTTTAATTTGCTCATCAGAGAGAGACAGAGAGAAAGAAAGAGACTGCGGGGCAGGGAGAGAAAAAGGGAGAAAGAAAGCCGCCAGGTCCAGGAATCAAACCATAGTCGGCCATGTGAGAGCCCAGCCCCCCAACCACCATTTCACCTGCTGGACCATAGTATGTTTTTTTTTTTTATATGTACACAGTATATACCTAATTGAATCAAGGGTATAAACATACTCATCATCTTCAACATTTAATATTCCATCATGTTACAAATATTTAAGATTCATTCTACTAGTTTTTTGTAAGTATATACTGAATTGTCAATGTTTTTTGCTCAGCTCTGGTATACCATTCCATAACCTGTTCTACTTGTTTTGATACATTCTTGCACCTGTTAATAATTTTCCCCACCCCCCCCTATACAGCTTCTAGTATTCACCATTACTCTCTACTTCTATGCTATCTAGTCCTTAGGTTTCTGTTAATGAATGAAGACACTTGGTGTCAAACAGGGACATATGGCATTTGTCTTTCAAAGCCTGGTTTATTTCACTTAGCATCATATCCTGTAGGTTCATCTACTTACTGTCAAATGGTAGGAATTTATTGTTCTTTATGGCTTAGTATTCCATTGTTTACACATGTCACATTTTTAAAAATCATTATTGATTTTAATTTTATTTATTTATTTATTTATTTATTTATTTATTTTGGAGAGGGATTTTTTTTGCTATAGGGCACATGCACTCGCCAGACAGACA